CAGACTAGAAGGTGGTCGCTCGTGTACTCGACAAAAATAAGCGACTTGCTGCGCTCAGGGAGACGAGAACACCCTGTCTTACTTTATGACGCTTGTATTCATTTTCAAGCCAGCAAAATAGCCAATATTTCATTAGCTGCTGCTCGCCATAGTCATTTATGTGGGCTTCTGATATCCTAAGGATATCAAGTTTGCGCAGCGCTGCTGTTTGAGTGATGGCGTTCAATTTTCCAGCTTTCCTTGCCATTCAGCTTCTTCGCGTTCCAGCTGGCAAACGAAACTTTTCTTTGCAGATATTCATTACTTGCACGTCGGATTTCTTGGCATACGAAATTGAACCGCCCTGCATGCAAACGCTCATCGCACAGACGTGTTAAACAGGCCCCGGAGCAGCGAGATCTACACCCAATCGATTAATGCCGTGAACAATGGAACAAAGTTTGCTAATAGGAATGCGTCGTAAATGCATTTTTCAAGTAGAAAGACTCATCCAACAAGCTGTATATGGTTCTATCTTAATTATGATTTACTCCTCCTTTTACAGACCTCTATTAACAAGAGATTTTGATGTCAGTTTCATGGCACCGTCGACATTAATTAAGGGTAAACGTGAAACGCTTTTAACTTCACAACGACTCTCTCATTCTGGCCAAAGCAACTTTGCTACTGTTTAAAAGACTATCGAGTGGGTTGGATCAGCTTCGTCTGTTCATCGATGATGGGTTCGAAATGACGCTCGCTCAACTGTCTGCATTTTTGCAAGGAGTCATACTGAAAAGATGTGAACGGGATGTGCATGTATAACATTTTACAGTAATAAATTTTGGCTTGTCTCTCTCGGCTAGAAGGCTAAGCATTTGGGTTTCAATTTCTGTTCGAAGTTGACCATTTATTGGCATGAACATCACTGTGAATCGACAAATGTACGTCGAGATGGATAGCGACTTCGACGATTGTGACAAGAATCGTTGTGAAAAGGTCTTACAGCAATTCTGGCACTGAAAGGAACCTGGTGCTGAATACGTGAATGAAAGTAATTTGAAATAATCGTCAAATTAGTCGTTTTCTATAAACGAGTGTTAGCACGGAATGATTACTAAATGCAACCACAAGTGAGTAAAGCTACGGAGGAAACCACTGAAACCAAAACTCAGGTTCAATCATCATCATTTTCTGTAAATTTCGAAACTTTTGGCATGTAGAGCGTCTGAACATGCAAAATTTTTATGAAGTTCTCTCTCCGCAGCCATGTTAGCGAAGTGGCATATAAGTTTTACCTCTCCATAAAAATCGTAATTTTTCCTTGGTATTCGTTATCTTCGCACAAGCGACAGTTGATCATGCATAAGAATAAACGATTGCACATTTGCATACGATCCCGCTATTGCGGATTGCATATCTGATACGTTTCTTGCAACCAATAAGATGTTACAGATCGCTGGTGGTCCATTATGTAAATCGCTTACTTCAAGTGGATTTCATTTCCGTACGAATCTTTACTGTCGAAGTGCTGTCGAACTAAGAGGCCGGTCGTTCGCAGAAAGGATGTTGGTAAGCATTATCCAGTTGCGGGTTAATATTTCCGTTCACAGGTGAAAAGCTGCGATATTCCTTTTGCAAATGAGCAGCTGTAGAACGTTTTCCATGATGCCAACTTGCTTTCGGTGTAGATACAGAAACAACAGAACGAGAGGTAACGCAGATCTAGGTACTTGCGAGTTTAAGAGTGTGAACTACTGTCTTAGTTGAGTTAAAACTTGATTGACTTTATGAGCAGAAAAGTAGTTACTTTGATTGGTTTATTTCAGCATGCCGCAGTCGTTTTGTTTTTATTACTTGAGTTGTCCATCTTCAGTTTGGGTCGTTCGTTATGATATTTCGACTGATTCTATGTCATCGAGCTCGATAGTCTTCAAATACAACTGTTTTAAATTTGGATCATCTAATATTTAATGCTGTTACATTAGTCATTAACATGGCTCTAATGACAGACAGCTAGCAGGAGGCAAGTACAGCAGTATTTCGATTAGCCCGACTCGACTAATGCCGTTCCTCATCGACTAATAAACTGACTGAATTTCTTTTATATAGACGATATCCAGATTCTTGCTAAGTCTAGTGAAATGTAAGCGAGTGTTTTTGCCTCGATCACCACTTAACACAGATTGGTCGATTTCATCAATGTCAACTGTGTTGGTCAAAAAGGAGTATAACAGGAAAAAAAGTTTCGAAATGTAATAATCACAAAGCTTATTGCTTCAAAATCAGGTCATAAACGATCAATGCGCCTACCTGGAAATATTATAAGGTCAATTAATTTTGGAAGCAACCAACCTTAGAGCTCATGGCCGATTTATGGTAATCGGAAATCTTAAGATATATATATAGTACATAGTACATTACCAATCATATCGGTGAGCCAAAGTTTCCAGCGGCTGATATGTTTTCAGTTTTTAATGTGGATTGTTTTGGCGTTATGTTTGATGCCACACTGCGCTGGCTTCGTACCATACAGAGGTGCAGGTTATTCGGACGGATACCATTTTCCAGTTGGTACGTAACTGTTAAACATCAGACTACGTACGGACAGACCGTATATTATAGGCGGCAGGTGTGCCATGTTACCGGACGGACAATACCCGTTGGAGAGGTGCCATCATGCGTATCTGTCATGTGTTGCCGGCGAAGCTAGAGTATTGCAATGCCCGTTGGAGCTGATCTTTGATCGGTATGTGCATAAGTGCATCACCGCTGCCGATAGCGAAGAATGTACTGGAACACCACCGCCTCGAACAACTACCCCCCAAAACGAACCGACAACTATGGGTAAAGTTATTGCTTTTCTTGGCAGCAAATAGCGTTATTTTTCGACTTTTATAGGCAACCCGTTTTGTCTCCACAAAGCTGATGGCCTTTATCCAAATCCGGAAGCACCTAACGGTTGCCATCGACAATTTTACGCATGCACTGCCGGTGCATTGAAGATCCAAATGTGCGCAGATAACCTGTTCTACGACCCCGACACAAAGACATGTCAGTCTTTCGCTAACGTGCCAGCATGCACCGGCTTGCCGCCTACGTCATCTACAGTGCCCACTACGCTCACAACGCCACAAAGTAGTCCATATTGCTATATCATAGCATTGCCACGACAGTTGTCATTTATGCATAAGTAATATCGAGAAATTTATTGCCCACCCTGTAAATGGAGAATATCAAGTACGGTTCTTATTCGAAACTAGTTAGCTGACTAGTACGACGATTAGTTAACTTGCAAGCACAGCTGCAACCTTTGTATTATTACTTTGACTAGAATGATGTCCCGAGAGATTATTTACAACTCGTTTGACATACTGAGCAGCTCGAGATAAGTGGTCTAAAGGGTTTAGCTGTTAGAATCAAATCCCTCGTGTCTTTTCATGACATTTATTGATTGCTGAGGTACTACGAGTGGTCCTACTTCATTCTTCCAGTCTTACGTTGCAACAGGTCTTGAATAACGTCGAAAAGCATATTTCAAACTCTGGCATCCGTAGGGAGTACACTGTTTACGTGAATGAACAATGAAACGGATAAGAAATAGTCATGTGAGCACTTTGGTTGCCTCACCAACCGCAGAGGATTGAGTGAAAGCTGGGCCGACAAAGCGGAGGACAGCTGGAGGCGTAATAATAGCTTGAATCGTTCACAAAAATAAATGAATCAGAAGATCGATAATTAATTTTGTTTTTGGTAGTTGCTCATTGATGTAATTATTTATTGCCAAGCAAAATAAACGTTCAACTAAAAATGAACTACAAGAAATGTATTGGCTTACCAGGCTGGCTCCGTGAGTTGGTTTTCAATATACGGTAATGACAGTTATTCCATGTACTAAAGCAACCTGACCTTCGTTTTTCCCCTCAGCCGTCTCCCATGCAGCATTGCGGCTAAACCACTTTATGGTTCTCGCATGTATAAAAATTTATTTTGCGCGATAGACACCTTTCATAGTCATTATCGAAAGAGGTAAGCGAGTTAATGAAACCAGAAAAGAACTAATCGCAAGCGGATGTTGACAAATGGTATGTGGTTGGGTGACAACCTTGCAAATTCTCTTGCTATAGCGGAGCTGAGGTAGATGCAGACCAGAGCCTGTGGGAATTAACGTCAACGTGGTGATGTAACTCACTGTTGTATCGAAATTTACTTCTGATATAATGGCGATTCCTTTTTTATAATAGCGTTATGTTGCCTGTTACCGAACCGTTTGCTCTTTTTCTGCCGTAAATGAAGTACAAGTCATTCAAATATGTCATTTAGGTGACGTGCCGGGCATAGATTGCGCCGGATTAATGCCAGGAGATTATCCGGATCCGTCAAATATCTGTTCAACTCGATATTTCACTTGTCTCAATGGCGGCAGAGGGGTGCCTCGCGAATGTCCGGATAACTTGTACTTTGATCCAACCAATTTGAAGTGCAATTTCCGAGAGAACATTGTCGAATGTACAGGACAGACAACGTCTGTCGTGT